TGCTATTAAGAATTCCACCAATAAATACAAATGAAACTATGGCGAAAGATGACTGTGATCCTGTATACTGAGCAGTGACCACGTAAGATGATGTACCCGGTTTACCAGCTTGCGAGACAATATTGCCATTACCACCAAGAAGCTGTAAAACCTTACTTTGATTCCATCCAATTTGTATAGTATTATATTGTTGTATATTAATTTTACCAGCAATCGCCGCATCAAGACCGGCTTCGGATTTGGCCACAACAGCTCCACCGATAAATACAATAACAGCTATGGCCTTGGCCACTCCAGCCCCAGTTCCTGTATATTCGACCGTGATAAAATTCGTACTACCCGTGCCAGCCTCCGATACAACACTTCCTGAGCTGCCAACTAATTGTGTCAATTGGGCACGTGTCCAACCAATTTGGATAGCAGTATATTGTTGCTTAGTAATTGTATAAATTCCAGTATCTAATCCAATTTGAGATTTGCTATTAAGAATTCCACCAATAAATACAAATGAAACTATGGCGAAAGATGACTGTGATCCTGTATACTGAGCAGTGACCACGTAAGATGATGTACCCGGTTTACCAGCTTGCGAGACAATGTTGCCATTACCACCAAGAAGCTGTGAAACCTTACTTTGAGTCCATCCAATTTGTATAGTATTATATTGTTGTATATTAATTTTACCAGCAGTCGTCGTATCAAAACCGACTTCAGATTTTGACACAACAGCTCCGCCGATAAATCCAATAGCAGCTATGGCATTGGACACTCCAGCTCCTATTCCTGTATATTCAATGATCATGAAACTAGTACTCCCAGTGCCAGCCTGTGATACAACATTTCCTGGACTTCCGACTAATTTTGTCACTTGAGCACGTGTCCAACCAGTTTGGATGGCACCATACTGTTGATTAGTTATGGTATAGACAGTTGGAGCACTACCACACTGGTGTATAGAAGTGGAAAGTATAACTAATAAAAAAGCACCGAACTTCAGCATTTCTATAACCACAGTAAATTCATTTTTTATATAGCATAAAAAAATCATATCTCATACCTTGCTCTGTTCACAGCAATACGTGTATAGCTTTTTCTGAAACTGAAATGTGTTATACGTACGTGTTCTATGCTTGAATAGACGACGTCTCAGTTGTTACTGATGTTTATTTTTCGCGAGTCAGATGATATTTGTGTCACTTCCTCACTTTATATCACTACATTTACTTAACATTCTTTTCAAGGAACTGCGCACAACGTCGTATCTACTTAAATTTTTATCTTGTTTTGATGCAATAGTTATATTAAAGAAAACTTGTTTATACTCTATATATTGTGACTAATATCTCTACCTAAGAATGACAAAAATAAATCATATACGCACGCCTGGGAAATTGGTAATTTCTTTTCACACAGTTTGTTATTCCTGTAATCATATTCATTGATTATGCAATTACCCGAATCGTATCATTCGACAGAATACGTCAAATAAGAGTTATTCATCCAAATCAATGTGACTATTAGACCATGGCAAATATTAGAAGCGAAGAGGCTACTTCCGAATTGCTAATTTCAAAATGCATTATTATTCATTCCTATTGCATCTAGTAGCTGCCGTGAAGCTGAATTATTTTTGTGTCTTCCAAACAATTATGTGTGAGACACAGCGTTGGTATATGCTTCGATAGACGTGTTTTGTTTTCACCTATACGCATACGGGTTTACTCTTCCTATGCGTTCTATCGATTATTTTTGTTACTTGTTATTAAAGCAGATTAAAGAATCCTAGATGAATCATTTATAATCAATGTAGAGCATACTCAACAATTAGAATAGTGATTAAGCATTTTTCTTTGTTTAATCTTAAATCGATCTGATTAAAAATAATGAGAATCATCGATAATATTTCAATATTATTGATTGTAATAAGCGATCTAATTGGCGATTGAATTGTCAAACGTATGCAAACACAACAGATATTGAACATAATAGGGAGAAATAGGCTTTACAGTATATACACTCATAGTAGAAAACAAAAGAAGAACAATAGTAGAAAGAAGAAATAATATGTCTTGTCATCTGCAATCTACATTTGTTACATCTATTTGTGCATGATATCGAACAGAAAAATGTCGTTTAGATAACCTTCAAATCAATTCATTTCTTATCCATACTTTTCTCGACTCGTATGTCTGTTCACGAGCAGTATATAGGATGAAGAAACTGAAATAGTTCAATCAGTGATATGAAATAGAATCATATTGTTACTTCCTCGACTGTAGGGAGGGTCATATGAAAAAAAATGCGTTTGTCTGTCTGTTTGTGGCAGGTCAAAAAAACATTATGCGAGCTTTCCTTCGTTTCAGACTTAACCGTCTTTTCATCGAACTTTCCTTAAGGTTATCAGGGTCGGGGAATCCGAATCTGAAGTCAGCTTTTAAAGGTCTCGAAATGAATTTCTTAAAACGGGGTATGCTTTGGAAGATATTTAGATTGTATTCAGTTTGACCATAGATAATCGAGGTCTCAGAAGTCGTACTTCATTTTGGCTACGGGAGTGTTGTCTTTGATTTTCCTGGAAAAGCAGTGTCTTAGAGACTTTGAAGAATCATTCAGCAGTCAACTGAATTTTATTCAGGGATAAAGCGTACACTTAGCACCACTTTAAAATACGCCGATGAATGACTAGTTTCTAATGGGAATATTTCATCTGGGAAGTGTTCGGTATTGAAATGAGAGTTGGTTTTCTGTATGATGATACNAATATTACACATGTCTAGACGCAGTTTCATACGAAGAATCTGAATATCACCTAAAGAAGCTGAAAAAAAGAAAAGAAAAAAATTTTTATCCTAAATTTCAAAAAGATAAATTTTTCATATTTTTTAGGTGTCCCCATAATTTTGTATTTTTCTCCACGAAAAAAATTTTCTAAAAATAAAACAAGGTCATATTCGTGATCAGCAAAACACGACGAATCCAACCATATGTGTTTAAACAAAAACAAAAACTTGTGGAAACTTTGAATTACGCGCACCTTACTTCGACTATCTAGATATAAGTGATTTCAAAAGTGCTCAAAATATCATCGAATTCGAGTGTTTAAATGAACTCAAGAATAAATTACTTTTAGGGATCACTGATCGGGGAACTGCATTCAATGAGAATCATATCCTGGTTGATTTCGATTTCATCGACTCAATGGAAGGTTTAGCTTGCTCGAAGCACTCAGGAGAGTCATATTTTCAAGAATAGGTAGTTTTTTTTGCAGTCTATCAAAAGAGTGTTTTCATACAACTGTCTGATTTGTATTTTCATCATTTACTTATTTCACAGCTTGCTCAAATAGGAGTTTCGATCACAAAAATTTAAATCTTTCTCTACAGGTGCGACATGACTTATTTTATTTTGCTTTTAGGTTTTAAATTACGGCTAACTATTTGCCAAACGGATTTTCTACGATTCATTGCTAAGTTGAAAAAAACTGGATGCGGCGTTCTGAAATGGCAAATTTTACGTCGTTTCTCTTGTGGTGCACAGCAAAATAGCCATAAATACTGAGCGGAAATGCAGCTAGAAATTCTGTTTTATGAAGGCTTAGGCGGCATTGCTAGCTCCATTTATAAGCAGGCGTGGGTGTGAGTGCTACGTCTCCTCAAATAACGAAGTTATACTGATTCTCTAAAATAGTAGAATTCAACTATGCATTAACTGTAAAACATGTCTACTTTGATATATCACGGTGGAGGTTGAACTGTGGATGTTCCTTAATGTGGCCACACATGTCTGAAAATTTCAGGCTGATCGAAACATCTTAAATGGTATCATTCTTCATAGGTGGGGGATTTAAGCCGCATAAGATTCCTATTCCTCTGTTTATGCAATTGGTAGCCCTGTTTATATGCACTGTACGATTAGTATTAGCATGATATTGTATACATTGTACCAATTTTAGCGACCTGTTGGTCCTTATGTCACAGTGTTATCAGATGAATTCAGGACAGAAAGAAGAGTGAAAATGTGTATAGGATGCACTAATCTAGTATTGATTTTCATGTCAGGGTCTAAAATCATATCCATTCTTTTTCAAATACTGGAAAGCAGTGTTGTTGAAGTTTGCAAAGCGGTAAATTATATCGGAAGAGCAAAACATACAGCCGAGGGCCAAGGTAGTCTAAGCGACGAGCGTTAATTGTTCTAAAGATCCCCTTGTTCTTCATTTCTAAAACAAAATGAAGTACTATTTTCTTTCTTTCAAATTCAGATTCAAATCATTTACCCCATCGTATGTGAATCAGTCATGTATAAACTGAGGTAGAAAGATACAATCATTAATGCTGGTTTTCGAATTCTTAGTACAAAAAAAATTGCTTTAACTAGCCGTTTGCGTTCTATGAAAGATTTGTTTTGATTTAAGGCTAATCGATTTCGACAAGAACAATATTAAGTTGATCCTAATCAATAAAAATATCGCTGGTTTTGCAAAAATTAAGAGAGAAGGTCCCAATCATCCCTACTCGACTGGAAAATGGAAGAGGAGCTGTTTTATTGAATAGAAACGATCTTCTATTGCAGATGCATATTATTCTCAGTGATCCATCTAAATTTCGACATCTCCTTGATGATCTCACAATAACAGACGAAAGTAGTCTTAAAAATTTATTAAATAGGTTAATAAAAGAAAAATATATTACAAAACAATTTTTCTATAAGGCACATCCTATTGGTTTGAATCCTGACAGATTTTATGATTTATCAAAACTCCATAAGAAAAAAGGATCATCAAAAGTCAATAGAAAAAATGTTTCATTTCGACCAATTCTTTGGGCAATAAGAATATTTAACTATGAAATTATGAAGGCTCTTTCTGAGATGTCTTCCAGAATAATAGAGAAGAAACATCTTAAAAGATTCGTTTTCATTCAATCAAGAATTATATTCAATCAAGTGTTCCTCTGACTACAAGATGGTATCATCTGATATTATTAGTTTATATACAAATATACCACTTAATGAAACAATCAAAATCATTATTGATCTTTTATGTAAATGAGGCGTTAAACATCTACAATCAAACAAGTTGACATGGAAAAACTTGAGTCTGTGTGGGTGTTCTTGAATGGATAGTACACCACACCCACACGATTGGATCGAGCAGATCAACTTCTATTTGGGACGACTGGATGGCCTGTGAAGCAAGTAGTAGGGTGAATCTTGCGATGGTATACAAGATATATCCCAAAGGGATGCAAAAACACTAGATTAAAAATGTATTTTTCTAATTACTTCAAACAGCTTTCAATACATTGAAAACCCAATAATGCCATCGAAAATAACATTTCAATATTTGAAAATAGTGAGAGTATGGGCTTTGGATTAAGTTCTTAAAAGAATCCAGCATAAAAAACTCAAGTGTTGATCTAAGATTGTATCCAGGTCTTTGCAAAAAATACTTGCACTATTTTTTCTACAACTGTCATCATGAAACACGTGTATCGCAAGGAAAAGCAAATCGCATTGCTGTATGGTCAATGTGTAGTACAACTAATGAACATATTATCCTGAAAAATGAGTTTCGTATTTACTTTTTAGCAACAAGAAAAATGCTATATTAAAAATTTAATTTTGTGCAAGGTCTTTTGCAAACACCTGTTTATATATGTTTCACATTTCTTAATATCGAACATATTTTATTTGCTATCTTGCATCTTGCTTTCTCTACTTGACTGAAATCCTTCTTATCCGAGAGCCACTTATCGAGATAAGGTCGTCAAAACAATTATATTGATGCCTGATACGCCGAAGATGGCACATTCCAGTAAGAACATTGCGTAGCAAACAAATATGTGATATATATATAAGGAACAGTATTGTGGTATCATTTATCATTATTACTCTGAAGGCCAGACAGCATGTATAAAAAACTGTTTGTAACTTTTATTATTGCACATTCTCTCCTGGTATTAAATTCTGCTTTTGCTCTTGAACCAACATCTGTTAGCT